AAATAATGTTAATTTAACCTTGTTACTTGATGCTTGATCCATGTTGGTCCTTTTGCTCCCCCTCAAAAGGAGGCTGATCCCAATACACCCCTCAATCTTCCTCGTATCCATGAAAGATCCTATCCTCTTGGCAAGCATGGGTTTCAATACGGCTGCAACGCCGGGTGCGACCAACAAATGCGAGTTGAATCCGTGCATATGTTTGAGAGGGGCACCGCAGAATTAATCCGGTAGACCAACACTCTGCAGGTGAGAAATAAAGAGTAATGATCTACACGCCTTGAGAGTCTGAGAGGGGGTTACAGTGAGAGCTCAAGCATATTCCGAGCTGCCATGCTCAAGCACAACTTTGCATTGGGGCCCAAATTACCATAATAGATACTAGAATTGTTTCCAGAGCAAGCCTTTGGAGTAAGTTAATCTTAACACGATTTATACCTACTACCAAATTCAGAGAAACATAGCGATTGCTTGAAAGCCACTTCGAAATGGTAAGACAGTATCCTATTAGCATATCATGTATGAAAGGCCAGCTACTGACTAAGATAGACTGCGCGGTTCAAGACATCTCTGATACTCATCCCTTTGAGCATGGTTCTTTTGAGCTGCGCAAGAATATGGCAGACTGTCTCTAGTCTCACAGACGTCTCGCGACTGTTCCAGAGTCTCTGGCATGTTCCAATCAAGATATCCGAGACTTATGACTGCCACCAGAACTCTACCATCGAGATTCTTTCAATCGACCCCTTCGTCATGTATATCAACAACTTTCTGTCAGAACATGAAGTGAACCACCTTCTAGAAATTAGGTTAGAATCACCATTCAGATTTTCCGCATCTTTCACGTAAACTGACTGTTTCTCTATTTTAGTCATGACAATTTTGAGCAGTCACCAGTCTATGACGAGAACCTCAAGACAGTCGTCGACACACGCTTTCGCACCTCAAAATCCTCAATGGTACCAAAGAGCGATATCGTTGGTGAATGCTTGTCCTGGAAGATGAAGTCGATTCTCGGCAATATCCAGCACATAGATACAGAGCCCATCCAGATCGTCAAATACGAACCTAGTGAGAGGTTTCGCATCCATATGGACTGGTTCGACAAGCCCCGTAACAGAACATATAGCCGCAAACATCCCAAGAGGCCTTACAATAGACTGGCCAGTATCTTTGCCTACTTGGACGACGATTGCACTGGCGGGGAGACATACTTTCCTGAAGTACAAGGTGTTTCTAGAGTTGCTGACGGAGATAAGTTCTCAAGGACAGAATCAGGAAAGGGACTGCTAGTTCGCCCCAAGAAGGGCAATGCGGTGTTTTGGAATAATCTTCTACCTAACGGCACGGGCGACCCTCGCGTCGCTCATGCTGGCTTACCGGTCCATGCTGGAAGGAAGATTGGTATCAATCTATTTAGTCACTACTATTATGATGCACCGATGGTTGGCGGAGATGAAGAATGAGTAGTATCTTCGCTGTGGAAGGATGCGTTGGCAAGTTGCTTACAGTGGGGTATGTAGCGTGCTGAAGTATGAGTTCGTGGCTAGCATGTTGAACCAAGAGACATCACCTATATAGGAACTTGAAAGACCATATGAGGAGAGCCAAAGAATGCAAAATATTGTTGTATGCGTCATGTACTGCTAAAGATAGTCTGAAGCAAGTTCTACGCCTGCCTGAACCCTTCCTTTCAGTGCACCAGGCTGCAACAGCACCGTGATGCAATGCTGAATATGGCGCTCATTATCGTAGCGAGGCTCTACCGTAACGTTGTTGAACCGTGCTCTATACTGCTTCTTCCAGTAGAACAAGCAGTGCGCCATATGCCACTCTCCTGTAGAATAGAACAAGAACCCAGGCTCGTCAGCTTTAGGTCCCAGTTCTTCTACCGAAATACCCTTCGTGAGGTTCTGATCTGAGTAATACGGCCATTTCCCTCCCTTCTCGTGTCCCATCCTCTCAAACTCAGCCGTTAGGGCATCATCTCTGCAGTGGTCGGGGAGCCAGGCGGCAGCGAGGGCATCGTATTTGCAACCCATCTCCACAGCCTCGGCCACTGAATCACCACAGTTGCAATGCCCTAGCGGTGCAGTATGTATAATGGCCTGGTTTTCAGATGCCGTTGCTGCTCTTTGCGATTCTGTGCACGCTGCTGACGGAGCTATGAGAGCGACGAATCCGGGGACTGCTAGGCTCAGTAGGATCACGTCTTTGAGCAGTAGCCAAGGATGATCCAAGAAGAATTTTATCATCTTGTCAATACAATGATGGCTCGAACTTGATGAATAATTGGGGCGATCCGGGGCTGAATTACAGTCGGACGCTTTTTCTGTACTGCTGCCAGGAAGTCTCAATGAAGCCGTCAACAATCCATATTCATTTCGTGGTAAGTTGATACTTACTCTTGGTATACAAAATCCATGGTATATTGAAGCACGTTGGCCAATCCTTTCTGGAGTCGTGGAGTGTGTGTGAGTCTCTCAACAACTTCACGCTGTGGCAGGCTCGGAAATTGCGTATGGGCTTACGCGTTGTCAAGGCGAGTATTTTCAAACAGCAGCCATGTCAATGGAACTTGGATCCTATCGAACGGAGTCGCTGGGATTCCAAATCACTAAGCAAGAGTCGATCCAAGCCTGCTCCAGGTACACAATTGCATTGACGTGGCAAAGCACTACTGATTTACATGTGCCAAGTGTGGAGCAATAAGCTTCACCGCGAGAAAGCCTTATGTCAGGGATGTTTCAAGTCTTGGCCCTCTAAACGAGGAGAGAAAAGTTAGAACTTTTGTTCCCGTTAAACAACAACCAACAGTCAACAACTCAAACAACAAGCTTAAAAAGTGGACCATGGATAGCGGGAAGGGAGGCCAGAGCGGCAAAGCAATCCTGCCGATCATTATGCCTATCAGCTCAGAGTTTGGTTGGTTCTGGTATCAAGTTCTGTGGAGATCTATATGTATGTTGGTCACAGCTCTCTATTATCTTACATGCCCCCTTGGCCTAAGCTGATATGTACTGGTCATGAGTCAAGAAACCCAGTTTGGAGACCCATGCACCGACTCGCGTGTTCATGTTGATCTTCATGAATCAAGGAAATAACGCATGGCGAAGCCGTGAGATGGCGCAGGATGACGCGTAGTTCCACGATGGATATTGTTTTCCAGTTATTCGGTGAATTAGTGTGAAGGATTCGCAAGCCAAGAGAATGGACTGTTGGTTGTTGCGCAATGGGCGATTCAGGATGTATCACAAGGATGTTGCACAAAGGAGTCTCCCAGATGTCTAGACGAAGTATTTCGAATCCTTTCACGTCTCAATTGTCTTCTGATACTTACTCGAAAGGTTTGATAGGGTATAAATGAGTTTGATCAAGAAAGAGGCAGCGATCATGGTACTAGAGAACACTGCCTGACAACACGGAGACTGTGTGGGTCAGTTCCATCAGAGCCTCATGGTTCAGCTTCATTCATACGAGCACGGAAATGTTGACCTTAATGGAAGTAATGTTTAAAATGCCTCGGCACGAGAATATACAAGCTGGTTGCTCAAGGCGTCAGCAACACAAGCATGAACAATAGTCTCGGATGCTTCAGGCAGAGCAAGTCTAGTAATATTGTAAAGGGGTGTAGTCGTGTGAAGATGAAACCCAAAAGAATCATGAGACAAGTCAGATATGATGATAGGTTCTCAATATTTAGGACAACAGGCAAGTGTAATTTATTGGAATCTAGAATATGTGAACCTTTTGGCGATCTCACGATCATAGACTTCTGGGCTTGCTGTTTTCCAACTTTCCGCGCCCCCTTTATCTCTACACCTGACCTTTTGATTGAACTCAGTGTAGCTCCTTTACTTCCAAAGCTCAGATCCCACTTTGAGCAAGGTAACTTTGAATGTTTACGCTCAATCTTGATCAATCTCACTCATTCCTCTTCCTCAAACTCCATAATCTTGGGGGAGTTGGGTGCTGTCGAGGATCAGTCTCGTAGTCTAACTTTGAAAGGGGAAACTTACGAGTTACTGGAGATTGACGCTCCTCCAGATCGTTGAGTTTGATAACGGCAGGGCTGCCGATGACTTGGGCGACGCCAAAGGTGATGGCAATGAAACTGGCGAGTTTGAAGAATTGCATTGTGGAATGGCTGTTCAAAGAATATCAAGGTTGTTTTGACTGGGTGCTAATGGATCGAGGTTGTTGATGAATGTGCTTAGTTGACGATTGAAGCGGGAGAACAGCACCTTTTAACTTGGAAAGGCCGCTCTGTCGAAACTGAGACATCAACGAACAACCTAGTTAGTCGTAGACACCGCCTCTCGTGCTTGAATGCCATTAGTCGTGCTGGTGTAGCCTACTCACTGCTCGTGCTTTTGTTGATCCTCGATCCTAATGCTACACTGCAGTCTGCTGCCAGGATACGTGTACTTCCACAGTCACAGAGAGACGCCGTATCTGAGTGTTGGTGAATACAATCTTGGCCGCATATGTCGCTTTGAAGCCGCCGAAGGAAGGCATAGCGAATTTCAAAAGTTCCAATAATCCATGCAGTGTTGCTCCAAGAGGACTGGAGGCTATCATGCAATGCAGTCACGAGAACAGGGGCCTGAGGTTAATGAAGAAAGGAAATGATCTGAAAGAATAACCAACATGCGTTTATTTAGACTTTTAAGGAAATCACCGAGCACGCTTTGACGAGGTCTGCATGGGGAATTCCCTTGGCACCTGTGTTGTTTTTCGTTTGTAGATCCTCTCCCTTATCATTTATTTTGGACTTCTTGACGCCCAACTTAGTTACTCACCCTTCTTTCAACGCCCCTTTGGAATCTGCCCGTGACAGGAGCAGAGAGACGCTACGAGGTCAGACTAGTCCACGCACTACTATTCGTCCAGTTATCTTAGGTGAGAGTTTACGTCCCGAAGCTTTGTCACCACATGGAAAAAGTGAGAATTAACGAGTCAACGACGGTAGAACGTCGCTACGTGCGAGACAGCTTACTATGAACTTGAAATCTCTTCTCGTCCTACTACTCAGCGGGAGGTTGGGTGTCAGTGGCTTGAAGAAGGCGGGAGGAACCAAACCATGGGATTTGGATTCAGCTGTTGATGAGTCTGGTTGGGCGGATGAGCGCATACCGGCAGAGGCCAATCCATATTTGAAAGAAGCCTTGGAGGACTTCAATGCTTACGAGCCTTGGGATCACCCTTGAGCTTTGTCATCAGGATAATACTTAGCAGTCACTATCTGAAAGCTCACAGAAGCAATAAACTCAATGCCATCGACTTGAGTAACACCTTTTCATCTTCATTCATGATTCTGATTGTATTCTATGTTTTGTCTGGCCTACTACCTTTAATGAGATCTTTGAACCAAAAGCTTGAATATTTGAATCAGGGTTTGCAAGTCAAGCTATGGACCTTGTGGCAGTTAATCTTCGTTTGTGCCAAGAAAAGGGCGAGAGTCCTCGTCTTGCCCAACTGACTTTGCCTTGACCTCCTTGTTTTCCAAAACCTTAGGTCGAGACACGATAATCAGCAAAGCCAAGTCGATAAAAAAAAGAGTCACGGTGAATGCTGTGAGTATTGTGCTTTTATCGGCCATCTGAATGCCGCTGTACACAATATTCTCAGCAAACGAGCAGCAAATTGAATGGTAATGTAACTTACATCAGCGCGTTGATGCACCCTCCGACAATGACCAGACGTCCAATCCATCTGTGACTACCAGTTGTTTTGGGTGTTTTGATTCCTGCTCGATATCGGCTGTGGTGTAGATAGCCCAAGGCAATCTGTACAGGTACAGCTGTCATTATGACGAGACCAAGTACAACATGCGGGTTTACGAGCATCCCCATCTAGAGTTTGAAAGTCAGTCTTCGTGCGGATGACTTTTCTCAGTTCTCCGGTATACTAACTCTTTGGTTTGAAAGAATTGCATAAATAGCCAGTAGCGTTCCAAGAACACAAAGCAGTGAAGCAATCCCCTGGAGAATTACGTGGCCTTTGAAACCACTGCTGATCATCACTGCGCCAAATGGATACATTACCATTGTCGACAACACCATGAGAGCGCCATGGACAGCAAACAGAGAAGTCGGCCATTGACTCATGCTGCCAGCTCCAGATGTATTAGAAGCGTCATTCGCAGCAGTGAAGTCAATATGTGGTAACCTCGAATCACCACCGCGAGCTTCAGAGATATCAAGACTGAAATGGCCGTAAATTCCATGCTTCTCCATCGGAGAGTCTACTGAAGTCTCACTGAACACTTGGTTGACATTCGCAGCCCAGATCCAGGGCTGGGGAGAGCCGTCCGATGCAACAGATGACCAAGCCGAACATTGATAACAAGTAAATGTCACTTCAAACCATCCACTCCCATTGACAGAGATGGCGTTGGTGACCACTTGTGGTTCGGTGCCAATTGGCTCCGGTTCATAGTAACCTCTAGAGATAACAGTCAGCGTCGCTACTGTTAAGTTATGCAACAGAGTACTTACAGGCCTCGGCGAACACTTAAAACTAGGTCTGGGGCCAAGTTAGTCAAAGCGATTAGTTCATGTACCGAAGCGACTTTACCTCGAGATGACTTGTTGGCGTATGTAACAAACATGAGGGCGCCATACATGCTACTTCCAATACCGAGCGCTACCCACCCAGCGTCCTGTACTCTTTGGTATCCAAATGTGATGATCCAATCTGTGGAAGAAGTCGTCGAGTTCTGGTGACTGTTAACTGCTGCACAGAATGTTAAAGGATGATGGCTGCCTTCGAATTGGCAATACTGGGCGGCGCCAGCCACCAACGGGACGAGGGAAAGCAACACGGTAAGCAGCATGATTCTTTACTTCGAATTAATTTGAATCTGAAAGGGCTTTCTGAACCTTTGGTGACAGATTTAATGTGAGAAACTTGGGGTGCCATGGTGAACCGGTAGCAAGTGTCTGACGTTACGTTGGACCCCAACGCCAAGTCAACACAACCGCACATCACTTACTGATAATAGGAGTATCTGCATAATGCCCCAAAGTCATATCATATGACATGGATTCTGATCCTCCCGGAAAGTTACATGGATGGACCCGCGGGATTTTCAAACCAACAGTCGACCCTCACCCTCAGAGGGGTGTCTCTCACCGGCATCATCACACGACTTAGCCCCTCATGCCAAGTATGTACCACCTGCCGATCCAAGTGTCACGATTCTTGTGCTTACGTAGGAGACAATTCGCTTCTATACTTGGTAACTCAGCCACAAACCCGGTCCCAGCCTCTATTCCCATCATCTACTTCGCGACAAGGGTCTTGATGCCATACTCTCACTTTCCTCGGAGGTCTGTTCTTATTTCACAGCTTCTAAATTATCCCCTCCAACTCTGCATTCTTCATTACGACCAGCCACCGAAGAAAGACTCAAGTCAACGCTGTCGGTTTTGACCAAAATGAAAGGTGGCGAGTCCAGGGCTACTAGCCTATCCACAGCACTTCTGTGTACGGGCTTTATCGCTCTTGTGCTTGCGTACTGGCCCAATCCACTACTTCCTTCTCACATCTCATCTTGGTGGTCTGGACCGCAAGTCAGAGAGCTTCCCTATCAAGTTCAGGTTTTCAGCACTGATCCAATGATACTTTACATCAGAGACTTCCTGAGCCCAGATGAAATTTCACATATCACAAAGAGTGTGTAAGTCTTCGATTGCCCCTTTGATCCCCTCCCGCATACTCTGATTCTCATATACCACAGCCAAGACAAATTTGAAGTCTCACGCGTCTGGACTGACGAGGTTGGCTACATTGATACCTCAGTTCGGGACTCCCAGAGCGCCGACTTACCTTCAGACCATGTCTCACGCAGAGTCAAACGCCGATCCAGGACCTTCATGGGATGGCGTAACAACAAGACACATATCCAGCCACTCCGAGCTCAAAAGTACAATTTCAATGGATTCTACAACTTTCACTATGATTGGATCGAGCATGATCCACGATATCCTGGGAATAGAATGACTACAATAATGGTCTATCTTGAAGCTGACTGTGAAGGAGGTGGCACTAATTTTCCCAAAGTCACACCACCGAGGGATCCTCGTTGGTGCGATGTTATTGCCTGCGAGGGTGACGTTGAGTACGATGAGTATCCTGGTACTACGTTTAAGCCCATTGCGGGCTCAGCTATCTATTGGGAGAACTTCCATCCCAATGGGACTGGACATACGGGCACAATACATGCAGGACTTCCTGTAAGATCTGGAGTCAAGGTGGGAATGAACATATGGTCATGGGATCTTTCATGGACGCCCCCTGCCAATGATGAATAGACTACATCATAGTAGAGAAATAGCTGACATGGATGAAGCGGTTGGACTTCTAAGTGACAAAGGACTTTCTGATACATATATATGGCCTGTCAATCAATGTTTGAGCAGAATTCCTTCAAAATCTCATATGTACGTAGTTGTAACGAATAAGTTGATAGTAGGACCACCCGTGCATTGCTATGACTTCCATGCCTCTCGAAGACAACGCTCTTTCGCCCCATAAGACAAAGGTTTACCCCGCTTTCTGTCGGTCACAAGATGGTAAGCATTGTCTAATACCTTGCCCAAGTATTTAAAGCTCTAGTCCTCCCGAGCACAGTCACCATAGACATGTTTGTAATTGTCCATCACTTTGAGCCTCGACCATGGAATCTAAATCACTCCCCCAGACTCTACCAAGACTCATACCAGCTTATCAGGTCCTTCCGACCATGAAAAGCATCATCAAACAATATCAGGCTGTACGAGAAAGCATCATTCAAGATGTGAGCCCTGAAACCGCCACCTTTGGCAATGTCATTCAGCCTCTGATCAACATTGACAATGCAACCCAGGGGGATATTGGCATTATTGCCATGCTCCGTTATGCATCGCCTGACCAAGCATCTCGTGAAGCCTCTGAAGAAGCCTGTACCCTCATCAATGAAGATCAGGCGGCCTTTACCGCAAGATCAGACTTCTGGCGCCTAATTAAAGCTGTCAAGGAAGGATCTGCCGAAACAACTCTTCACTTCGAGGCTCGAAAGTACCTTAACAAATTGTTTCTGGAGTTCGAGCAGTTTGGACACGGCACTCTACAGCCCGAGCAAATCGAACAGTATATGGAGAGAAGAAATCGCATAGACAGCATGCGACGGGAATATAACCAGAGAATCCGTCAAGATAGCGGAGGTCTATGGTTTTCCCTCGACGATCTTGCAGGTGTACCCCAGCATGATATCGACCGTTTTGAGAATCACTCAGAGAATCACGATATGCGGTTCGTTCGCTTTTCAGTTGCAGATTCTTTGGCCATATACCGAAGTGCCTCAAAGCCCGCCACGCGTAAGAGAATGTATATTTGCGATGCAAATAACCTTAGCCAGAATGCCGAACTCTTCAAGCAGATTGTTTTGGAGAGGGATCGGAACGCCAGACTTTTGGGTTACGAAAGCCATGCAGCCTATCGACTAAAGAAAAGATTGATGAAGTCTCCGGGCAAAGTCGAGGAGTTTCTGACAGACTTAGAAACTAAGCTCATGGCTCGAGGGAAACAAGATATGGAATCACTGGTGGAGTTGAAGAAACAATACGAAGCTAAGGACTCCATTGGTGAGGACTTGGATGGTGACACGATGTTTCCATGGGATTATTGGTATTACGCCCGTATGGCCCAGCAAAGCCGAAATGTCAATCAGGAACGTATGGCTGAGTACTTCCCGCTCCAACATGTTATTAAGGTAATGTTGGAAATGTTTTCTGAGTTCCTGAAGATACAGTTTTATCCCATATCTCCAGATCAACTCCAAGGCTCTGTATGGCATGAGGATGTACAAGCTTGGGCAGTATGGGAAGATAGGGAAGCTTCGAAGGGCCAATTCATCGGTTATCTTTACATGGACCTCCTGTCCAGAGATAATAAGTACAAGGGCAACCAAAACGTCAACCTTCAGTGTGTAAGTACTCCGATGCGAAGTGTCACGGAACTCACGTTTTTAAAAATTAACATTCTTGCCAACAGAGCTACCTAAAAGAGGATAGCACAAGAGTGTATCCAGCGACCATCTTAATGTGTTCCTTTCCACGCTCCAACCTCTCAGGCTGTACCTTGCTAAAGCACAGCCAAATAGTCTCCCTCTTCCACGGTAAGTGCCCCTGATCCTCACAAGCTTAGCACACAAAACTCACAAGACTAGAATTGGGACATGGTGTCCATGACCTGGTGGCTAGAACCAGCTACGTAGCTTTCCATGGTCATAGGTCACCACCCGACTTTGCAGAAGCTCTCAGCGTAATGCTTGAAAAGTGGTGCTGGATGGAACCGGAACTCAAACGCCTGGGCCTCCATTACACGAGGACTGATCCGCAGTTAAAGGAGAAATGGCTGCTGGAACATCAGGGAGAGGAGCTTCCTCCAGCACAAATACCCGGTGATATGATCAGACGATTGACTCAAGGCCGGCAGGTGACTCGCTCGTTGTGGTTTCTTCGTCAGATGTGAGTATTATAGGCATCTTGAACTTCTTGGCTAATTCAAATTCAAATACAGGGTGTATGCACGATTTGATATGGCTGTGCACCATCCCAAAAGTCACGCTAAGCTTCTAGAGATGGATTTCACAAAGATCTACCATGATCTCATGGAGAAGCTATGGCTTGTTCGTGCACCAGAGCCAGGGGATCGAGGATATCCCCACGCCGACCTTGGCCATCTGGTTTCTGGCTATGATGCAGGCTATTACTCCTATCTCAGGCAAGTTACCTTTACCCTGCCATGTAAAGCAATCACTCATAAAAGATTCTCAGTGCTCACGTGTTTGCGGTAGAGCTTTTTGAGTCTACGTTCCTTGAGGATCCAAGGAGTGTATCAGCTTGGGACAAATACAGAAAGGGAATCCTTGAATTCGGGGGAAGCCGAGATGAGTTGGAGTTGCTGGAAGAGTACCTGGGACATACTCCTACTGCTGAGGCGTTGCTCCGTGATATCTTACAATAGGAAGGCTATGGAGCGAATCCATGTCCTTTCAAAGTCATAAACGAAGGCGAAGAGATATTTGTACTTAGGGTATTTCCTAAATATCCGGTAATCTACGAAGAAGGTTTGATTGATATATCTCGCACTAATTAGGATGGCCGCGGTGGTCTCTTGACTTGAAACCCTTTCTCCCGGGCCTTTGGCATCGGCCTAGTAAATACGTTCGTAAACCCAGCCACAAGATTATTCTGCCTACCCGCTCCATGTGGCCTCATTCCTGTTGAGGGTCCTGGATTTGTGTCCACGTCTGGAGATGAGGTTGACGAGACGAATACCCTTTCTTCGTCGATTCCATAGAACCTGTCAGACTCGCGCAAGGAGTAGTCGACGTCTGGCTGAAGTGCTACTTCCGACAGGGCCAGATCTATGCTGAAGTTCCCTGTGCTATGACTGCTCTTATCAGCTATTGGTGATCTTGGAGTTGTTGAAACAGCGGCTAGTCGAGGTGCGTGATAAGCAGGGCTTATTGCCCCTGACCTTGGGGGCCTGTAAAATGTCGATGGGTCTGGTTGGAAATCTCTTGTCGAGGGTTCTCTGCTTGGGGCCTGGCGATATTCAAGTAAATCGGCTGTCGAATTGGCTTCAAGAGAATTCATATTGAAAGACTGTGGAAATTAATTAGCATTGAGAATTTTGTGTGATGTTTGATGATGACTTACGTTACTTAGGTTCGATTCTCCGCTGGTGGAGTGGGCTGAAGAGCTTTGATCGACAGATGGACTTCTGAATATTGTCTTATACACCTTCCAAGTGTGCTTGGCCAGAAATCCTATCAAGATGACCATTCCGTGGAGACATAATACCACGTAACCAACCCCTTGTCTCGTAGCTTCGGTAATGGGCATAGCAAATACACTGATGAGGAACAAAATGATCAATCGCATTGCTGATACATACATCGTTGTTGATGCTTTAATCAGCATGCTTCGTTTTGAATTGAAGTATGAAATAATAATGAAGGCTTCGCAAGCAATCAGCATGAAGAGCTGGGCAAGAGGAAAGTCTTGCAGGCTCCCAACGCCGATCGCCTGTAGAAGCGGCATTGTATGCGGGATATGGCGGGAAAGTAGCCGCCAAAGAGTATGGAAATCCACACTGGGGTTATTTGTTTCCAATCGGCTGACTTGCGGTGGTTTCAGTTGGTCACCCGCCTGGCCATCCAGCACTTGGACGAGAAAGTGCCCGGCTGCAAGGATTATGAGTAGCATTACGACCGCTAAGCCAATGCGATAGTTAGGCAGGTAGCCAGTCAGGATAAGATCATACGAGATGTATGAAAGTAATGGCACGCTGAAGAAGCAAAGTGCAACGCCGACAGTTGTTGAAGCAGCCTTTTGCAGAATCGAAAGAAATGGGAGGGAATGCACCGAACCCGACCGGGAAAAGGTCCAGAATGAGACTAAAAAGAGAAAGAATATCGGGGATATCAATATGATGAGATTGATCAGGGAGTTCGCCAAAGTATTGAGCATATTTGGATATCGAAGCATTTGCGTCATGAAACCAAGTCCATAAGAGGCATTGCTGGTGTACATACCGCCGGTCGGTCCCTCATACATATATCCGTTGCTGAATGGACCTGACCAGTATAGTAAGGAAGCCCAGGAGAGTTTGCTCACTGCAGGAACAAAGAAGCCCGGATATTCAATGCTCATTGATCCCGTTATGAAAGCGAATTGCAGGTAGCGAAGGTAGCTTGTCATTTCTAGAATGACAGACCACAATGAGCCAGCATTGAGGCCATGGGTATAGATGAGGCTGCTCTGGTTCACTCGCCATGATGAGAGAACGACGATGATCAGAATGGCAAGTGGCACGAATTTCAAAACTGCTGATATGCTGTCGCCTAATTCCGGTGTGATTTTCGCTTTCCCACAGTCTAATTCTTGGCCATCATCTTGTCTGAAACGGAAAGTTGATTCGAGAGTTTGAAATTGATGTGTGTTTTGAAAGCTGTAGAGCAGATGATAAGAGCTCAAACGTGTCTTTTCAATTCTATCCATCCAATCAGCTTCCCGACAAGCTCTTGAGAAACACAGATTATACTTACGGCGTCAAAGAATCAGTGATAGGTAGAGGACAGTTATTTGAGAAATTCTCCAACTTTCCAACTGAGCGGCCAAGGACTTGAAAGTCAATCGAGTTTCTTAGTGAAGAAACATCAATATCCTCACAGCTCATGAGCGATGCGTTATGGACCGCGAGGATGTTCAGCTCCAAGCTCGCGGACCTACTCTCTGCATCAATAGTCCACGATCCTCTAAAGCTGTCTATCCAAAACGGGTTGATTTCGATTGAACCTATGCCTTGATATCCACGGCTGCATGGGTACTTTCGAATCCAAGGCTTACTTTGCCAGATCTGCTCAGCAGAAGCCGGTAGCGTCTCGCTTAATACAGCGAGTAATAGACATGACCTAAAGATGTTGCAGGAGTTTTTCGAAGGCATAGCAAACGCTCATGGCTTTTCTCATAAGAAAGTACTTCGATTTTATGAAGGTCATTAAGAATGAGAAAAAGTTGGTTTACTTTATTTGGTAAGCAGACGTCGCGTCAAAGTTTTGGGGTTCCATAAAAGGGGCTGTTTTCAGCCAATGATGAAGCACCATTTATGGAAAGCTTATTCTATTTTAAGATCTTCAATGGCAATAAGTTGGATATAGTTAGATCTAGCCTCTAAGAAACAATACTTGACGGTAATAAAATTTTGCAATAAGAAAGAGATGAAATTATTAAAGACATTGAGATTGAAATGAGCGGGGAGTAAAAGGTAATTCCATCTTATAAACAACTCTTTGAAATAAGACGTGAGACTTTAGGTAATAGGGCTCAGCAATTGATCATGTCACACTCTGGCGCAGCAATTCAAGACTTTCTCGGATTGGACAACACAGAAGCAGAAAGACCTTTCGCATAGTATAACAACATCTTAGTACGTATCAACCACTTTCGTAATCCAAGCGTGCATCCTGGCTCTGCGAACGAGTAGTTGTGGACTCTGCTGGTGAACCAACATGAACTATACATGATGCTGAAGTCGTAATCCGGCTGTAATCTTGTCATAGTCAGGGATTCTACAGGGGATGCTGGGTGCTCTCGCTACTCTAACAGGCATACTTTTCACCATTTAAACACAGTAAGATAACTTCCTTCATTCCTTGGGCCTATTCTCGCCTCTTTGAGTCCAGTCTTGTTACACATGCTCCAGGGTCCCCATAGCCCGGCTTACGTCGTTCAAGTAGCGAAGAAATTCTAGTCCGCCAAGGTGTACAGTCTCCCGCGGGCTCGGAGTTGATGTAATGTAAATCCTCAGGCTTTCTGTATGCGGAGGGAGCACGAACAGCTATATATCTGCATCATTGTATTCGCTGAGCTTGTACTACATTTCAAAGTTGATCAGAAGTCCACGCCATCAGCGCAATGACCGCACCAGCCACAGTCTTTATCACAGAGACTCCAGTCTTCATCGTCCAGGCTCGACACGTATGGCTTCCCGTACTCGGTAAATCTTAACTGTGGCACTTCCGAACCGGTTCCGCTGCCACTCTTTGTCAACTTTCCCCCTTTCCACTTCCTCCTAATATCTTTGATCGACGTTCCGGCTTTCACGAATTTGATCGGTGGATAACGAGAAGAAGACGGCGCAGTGCCAGTATTCGACGGCTACTCAAGAATGATGATGATTAGCAACGATGAGCCGTGCTTGTAGGAGGATGGTTCTGGATTTTACATTACTAACTGGGTCGCTGGATAAGCTATGATCGCCTGATCCAGTTGACTCAACGCTTTGTCGATGTTTCGACGAGTCCCGCTTGTGCTGGGCCAGGGCGCTCTGATTCTTGACAGTCTTCCCACATTCGCAAACTACTTTATCCATGATTGAAATTGAGGCTGTGGTTGTTTGGACAGGAGCGGGGTGACTTGAAGCCTGGTTATTTCGAGCAAGGACGTGTCGTGGCTTCTTGGCGCACTGCCAGCCCGGAACCTGTTCGTAAATGGGACAAAGGGGTAAATGTCTTGCAAGCAGACCGTAGCTGGCTAGGAAAAGCACTTGTAAGCGGCTCAATTATAAGAGTCAATCCTCTTGAACTGGCAACGCAAGGCTCTTGCGCTCGATTGGCGAAGCTGTGGGTGCGAGCTCTTTCAGAGGTCTCTGGTCATGTCATATATCAAAGGCTTGGCGAATAGGCGTCAAGCATCTTCGAGACATGAAACCCCCGCTCGATTGCTCGATGCTGCCCAACCAAGCCCAACTTTTGCCCATACTGAACTCAGAGTCTGCAGTCGAACGTTATTGAGATATCCTGCAGCTATTTAAATTCTACTATGAATTGATAGTTAAAGCTTGTAACATCGTGATAAGATATATCAAACTAATACATTAAAACTTTTAAAAAGTTTTAGATCTGAAAATGTATAAATATATAATATTAATGAAATTCAGTCATTTAAATAAAAATAGAGTAATACACTTTTATAACTAGTACAGTATCTAACAGCAACAGGTTATACACTGTCACGCAATATGACAATGCATTGCAGTCTCCTGTCATGAAGTGTAATTCACAAACAGCTTATTCTATTTTAAGAACTGAAACGGCAATAAGCCGGGCATAGTTAATCCTTAGCAATTCAAGGCTCAGCAAGCTATAGCTACAGATGGAAAACGACACTCAGAAGTGACGAGAAATATGATTAAACAAGGGCTGCGATTGCAGAAAGAAGACAAAGCATACCAATAGCCTGCTTACCAGCCCCGCTGACAATAGGTACGATGGTGGGTTCTGTGTCCTTGGGACCGCCACCATTGGAGCCGTTGGGGCTTTGGTTAGAACCGGAGCTGGAACCACCGTTAGAGTTGGGCTGAGAGCCGCCGTTGGAACTATCCTTGGAACCACTCTTTGAACCACTCTTTGAACCACTGTTGGAGCCACTATTTGAGCCTCCGTGAGCAGTCGAGTTCGACTTGCCGTTATGACCACCATGCTGAGATCCACCGTTGTGCTGCGAAGGACACTCGTGGCCATTGCAAACTGGAACATCGCCGTTGCAGTTATCAGGCGTACCCCAAAACTTCTCCCAAGGCTGATACATGATCTTGCCCTTAGCACAGGTATCACAGTCTGATGCAACAAAGAAATTGCTATAGTTATACCAGTCATGACACTCTTGGGGCTTGTAGACTGTAATGCCAGAACAGCTACCTCCAGAGCAGAACTTTGGAACATATCTTTGGCCACCAGCACAGGAGCAGGGCTCGGAGATATAAACCCACTGTCCGTTACAATCGCTTCCATTGATCTCGATAAAGATATAGACAGTAACGTCGCTGGAGCTGCTAGAATAGCATTTACCAGCAAAGCATACTAGAGTGGCGGTGACAGCTTGGGTTGTCGTAGACAAAGCTCCCGCAATGGTCGTTGTGTAAGTGGTGACGATAATCTCTTGATCCGTTACGGTTTGTGTAACAGAGTCAGTGACAGTGACAACAGCCTCGGCAGCAGCGTAGACGGTGAGAAGGCGGCTGTTGGGAACATTCTGACGACGGTGGAGCTTTGCGCTACGAGCATCACCTCCACAGAACTGGGTATCATCTCCAGGACACTCAATATCGCATAGATCAAGGGTGACTCTACTGGTATCAGCAGCATAGATCACATCACCGCAATAACAAGCACTGTATAAGTTAGTAAAGTTATCTCACCATATAAATGGCATACTTACGTATCATAGACACCAAAGTAAGCACGTCCGGTGCAGAGATCGGCGCAGATTTCCAAGTCCATAGACTCGCTGGACTGGGCGAGAGTGAAGCTAGGGAAGCCCGCAGTAGAGCCGACACATCCAAAGAGGCTAAAGAGACCGATGTCGCCGGGGAATCCAGCAGGGAATGAGGCTGTAGAAGAAGCAGAAGAGACAGTGCTGGTAGCGGTTCCGGTAGCGGTTCCAGTAGGGATGACGGTTTCACCCTCGGAGTTGGTAGTAGCACCTTCACTGTTGGTCTCAACGGCAGTCTCAGTAGCAGCCTCAGTTGGAAAGATAGTTTCGCCTTCACTGTTAGTGGTAGCACCCTCACTATTGGTGTTGATGGCAGTATCAGTAGGAATGAGAGTTTCTCCCTCAGAGTTGGTAGTGGCACCTTGACTATTGGTTCCGGTAGGGACAACAGTCTCGCCATCACTGTTGGTAGTAACCCCCTCGCTGTTGGTGCCAGTCACAGGTTCAGTCCTGATGGGAATTGAAGGGATAGGAGTCGCAGTCGCACCCTCGGGAGCAAGTTTGGCAACAACGTTGTTAACTATTGCCCCAACAATCCTGCTACTGCTACCACAGGTCTGACGGTAAGTAAACTCGACTTCCCGTGGAGCTCTGAAGGGGTTACTCGAGATTTCAACACTACCCTGGGATGAAGAGTTGATTGGTTCAACGGCGACGACAACACCGTCAGCAAGTACTTCGAGAACGCAATCACTTGCCTCAGCTCGCTTGCGGTCAAAGTCAGAGTCATAAATAACAGACGAAACTACAAGGAATAGAGGTCCCAAGGGGGAAAATGGGTCCCAGATGTTAGATGGGACGCTGAAAGGCATTGTGAAAAAGGCGGGGAGAGGCAGGCCAGAGGGGAAAGGAGGGAGTGCGGTCCCAGGGACTAAAGTAGGCAAAGATGTATCATCTTCCTGGCGACGGACACGGGCACCACGGGATGATCCTGGGCGTAGGAGGCTAGGTTCATATGTCAGAGTGCTGATTATGGCTGTTGTGGTGGTCTGGGTAATACGCACATGCTGTCACCATCTGGGGGTGGGTAGAAAGATGCACCTGGGCCGAGTACGGCGTTTTTGAGATTAAGAGTGAATTCCGCCTCTGTTGGCAACGCTGAAGTTGTCGTGGTGGTGTCGAGGCTAGTGGTGTCCCTGATAGAAGTGGTGGTGGACTCAACAGCAAAGGTACTAGAGTTGGTGAACCTCGTGAACTGGCCGAAGGCACCCGAGGCACCGGCCAGAAGGAGGCCTGGAGATAAACGCATGATAAGGGTTAATGAGTGACTGATAAAGAGTGACTAAGAAGAGTGACTGAAAAGAGTGGACAGGCCACTAAACACGAAATTGAAAGTGGGTGTGGACGATGGAGAGCCAGAATCTTAAGATATGGAAATGGCTGGATTATGTACATCTAAACCCTCAATCGAATCTCGAGTCCCGAGATGAACTGACCCTCGTTGTGCCTTGCATATCAGACATTCCTATCCAGACCTCATCACCAGCAGTAACAGTTGCTCGGCATTACCATCCACTACTGCAAAACATATCTAATGTGCTTCTGGTTCATCTAGACAACGCCAAGGGCAGCCACATTCTTACTGTAAATTCATATCAGTGCGGTCTAGGGGAAGCCAGTCTCGACGCAGCAACTGAGACATCTGCTCTGACACTCGAAATGCAATATGCACCCCTTTTTTCTCTACTTATGGAAACATGTGAGGGCCAATAGTCTAACCCCAAATTAGCGCCACAATGTCTACAGTATATTATTTGCGCCGTTGAGCCAACGGCTCGCTACGCCAAGGATCCTTAGACATATTGGCTTTGTGGCCGATTTCTTAGAATGACACTGTGGGGTTCTGCAGGGATTCTGAGTACTCCATTCATTCTTCACTCGCTATCGTTCTAAAGATAAAACAAGGCCCAATTCCCATGGTAACGAAGGAGAATCAATAGGTCTGATACCAAGAGCCTACTAAGAGACTTTAGTAAATGGTGACAGTTGTGAAGTGCAGTATTTGTGAAACTGGTGTCTCCATGATGAGATAGAGTTCATGAAATCACAGCCCCCAGATTATATTTAGAAGTACGAAGGAGATATAAGGCACTTGCAGGACAGGGCTAAGGGTCGTATTGTTTGTAATCGGTTATTGAAAACTGGCTAAGTTCTCCATGGTGAACATAAGCTCCCACCACAAGCCTCAACCGCAAGTATTACGTGTGGTTTACAGCTTACCTGAAGCGAGCTCTTGCTTCAGAAGCCATGGCACAGGTTACTCTAAGGGTCTCAATGAGATTCAGGGATCATACGCTGTTAGCTACATAGCGAAAAATACAGCAACGAAGGTACCGAGTATGATCGAGGTTGAAGCGTAGGGCAAGACGAAAGTCGCTCCATCCTCGGCGTCTTTAGAACTAGGATATAGACGTCGACAAGAGTCTGGACCCCATAAACTCTTCTCATCTGGCCATGATTGGTTATCTGGGGACCTACGTACCTGAGCATTTTAGCACGAACCATGGTTGCTAGATCGTTACCAGTGTTAATACTACACGGATCACCTTCTCCTTCCTGATCAGTGACCACTACACAACTGTCACATCTCCTATTCCCAACTACCTCTTTTGGTGTTGTTTTGTTGTCCAAGAATCAAGTGTGCTGGATCTCGAGGGGGCAGGGTCCTTTGGGCTTGTAACTGGGGAGTAATCCAGAAGATGATATCGAAAAGTTGATAGCTCCATACTTCCAGTATTGCTCAGGTCCAGTGGAGCACTCTTGGAGAACTGACAAACTCCATCCGAGCTCCCACTCTTTAGAACAAGTGTTGTACATGATTCCAGTAGCATTGATCACAAAGTATGGTTCTGTCGCTGGATCAAGCGACCCAGAGCTGTAGAGCCAATCTGGAGCTGATCCATAGATAATAGGCACATCTTCCTTCTTAAAGGGAGTTGCCTAGTTGTCTTCCAAACGCCACTGCAGCTTGAAGCCATAGGGCCACGCCTTGGCAGGTCCAGTGAGGGCAAAGGCGATAGGAAAAGGGAAGACGGGGCGGTACGTCTCATTTAGTCGAGGAAATATGAGACTCACACCAAGGCCAATGGGAAATGGTGGCGAAGGCTTCTCCTTTGCCTGCATACCAAGGACTGCAAAGGTTCCCAGGAATATCCTAATCATGATGTTAGCATGATCTGATGGTCATAGGAACGGAACCCAGCGGACGCGCCCGAGAAGAAAAGAGAAGTTCATGCTTGCGATCAGGACTTGGTTATGTAGGGAAAACCAAGTTTGGAAAGGGGATTGCATGGCATGTTTATCTACATTCGTGCTCTGGTACCTATATTGACTCGGCAGGGCAGCCCGCACCATGTCACTTGGAGGTTTTTGATCAGAGACGACATTAGTCATTAAGAGTATACAAACCCAAGCATTTGATTTTGCTCCTCTAAAATCAAATGACACGTACGATGATCGTCGCAGGTTGAACCAACATGCATAAATAAGCATATATTTAACCTTTTTGACTCGCTGTGGAATTCTGTGATTGGTTGTGACTTGTGACCTGATTCACGTAAGTCTAGACGACTTCTAATGACACCAGGTTATTCAATTCGACCAACTTTGTGAGCGGAGGTAGGCGACATAAGCCGTTGCAGTAATTAAACCGAATATTCTGATGGTTACATCTCATCTATTCGGGACCGTGGCGCAGTTCAATCTGTTGAGAATAGAGACGAAGTGCCTGTCTACAATGAGGGGCTACCCAAATTCCCAAGGCATCAAAGTGTATATAGAATCAAGAGAATCCATACCACGAGGCCAGTTTCTGTCACATACAAGCAAGTCTTGCAACCCTTCCCCTTCGCTTTTGATTGCTATGAAACTATTCCATCTTGGGGTTCCCTCCCTCGTTGTTCGAGCCAGGCATGGCTCTTCATCTCACTATCAGCGACGCGGTGACGAGCCATGTATGCCTATCGCCCCAGGAACCACGCAGAACTGTGCTTCTTGGTATGATAACGATGGTTCACTTCCATGCGAGCTGATCCCTTACGCTTGGAATCTGTCTTTGGAAGATCTGATCAGATGGGTTTGTTACAATAGTTATCCGATAAAGGTCGAGGCTAATGGAAACTATACAACCCCTCCATCACTGCAGAATGCGGGAACTTCAAAGAGGGCTTCTCCTACTGCATTCAAGAGAAGGAGGCACCCGTCCCTATCAGCAGCACCACGACTAAACAAACTACGGCTCCTCCGTCCTCTACCACTCCCGTTCCTTCGAAGACAATACCCATGAAGCCATCTACAACTGCAGCAAGTGGCAATGGCGTCGAGACGCCAGACCCAATACAGCCTGGCATGGTATCGAGCTGCAACAAGTTCTACTTTGTCGAGCAAGGTGACAACTGCAATGCAGTCTCCTCCAAGCACGGCATAACCATAGCCCAGTTCACGACTCGGAACCCTAAGCTCGGCACGGACTGTCAGTCTTTGCTTGTCGACTATTGGGTTTGTGTTAGTGTAGTTGGCTGAATAGCCCCAACTCCTACAACACCTAGTAACGGTATCACCACGCCCATGCCTATCCAGACCGGTATGACTAAGAGCTGTAATAAATTTTATACCGTTAAGTTAAAAATAACCTGTGCTTCGATTCAGGATCACTATAAGATCTCATTTGCCGACTTCCATGCTTAGAATCCAGCTATAGGTTCTAAATGCACCGCTTTATGGGTTGATTATAATGTCTGCGTGGGTGTAGTTGGACAAAAGCCTACACCTACCCAGCCAAGCAACGGTGTCACCACTCCTTCACCTATCCAGAGCGGTATTACCAAGAACTGTAAGAAGCTTCATCAGGTGAAATCAACTACAACTTGCGCCTCGATTCAGAACTACTACAAGATCACGATGGCCAATCTTTTCAAGTAGCATCCTGCTATTGGGTCGACGTGTAAGAGCTTGTGGGTGGACTATTTGGTTTGTGTGCGGGCTTAGACCTACCTTGAGTGTCTCACAATTTCACTCCTATGTATATCTATCTTTATTCTCTTGTCGCTCCTTAATGATTGTAATCTCACATCTTTTCCTAGGGTGTTACACACTTACTGTCGCTTCCCGCTGAGACAAGAGGGAAGAGGAATCATGTGCCAATGAGGAGCCGCGCTAGTCCTCATCCGTTTGGTAGCTGACACTTCGCGTAACCAACATCCTCGTCCATTGGCCCAAGCTCCAAGCCCCGTCATCTGTAGGATACACGGCTCGCAGCTTCACTGCACTTTCAAGCCCCGCATCCCCCGTCTGTTTCCCTCCTCCATCCTCAACTCTCCCCCGAATGCGATCGCTATAAATCATTCATGACATCCTTCTCATGCTCCCGCACTATCTACTCCTGTGAAGTGCCGCCCGATTGACGTCCAGCATGGACGATCTACTCGCAATCTCAAAGTCCATCCTGGACAAGGTGCCGCGGCTCCAGGCGCTAGACAACTACTTCCGAACCCCAGAGATCCTTGCGCGGCAGCAGCGCGTCGATCAGCTTGAGGAGCTGGCCCAACAGAATGCTAAGAGATTCCGTGAGGACACAGCTGGCAAGATTGATATCCGGCCGTTCAGGACGCTCGTTCTAGAGCAGTCCAAGCTCGAGGAGGAAATCGAGAAAGATAAAGCTCGGTTTTTGCAACAGCTCCTCGACGATTGGGGCACGGCTCCGGAGGGCCTTCTGGCGCTCGCAGCTTCTACATCCCAAGCTCCACAAGATCCTCTCCCAACCGATGCGACGATACCTACACCTTCGCGAGCGCCCCTATCAGCTGTTTTTATGCCTACGCCCCCAGCTCCAAAACCTTCTCTACCGGCTAGTTCAATACCTACACCTTCGCGCAGCTCTGTAGTCCACGATAGTCGGGAAAGCACCGGGCCAGAGCGCAATGCGACCACTGAACCCCGGGCCCCGTTGGCCGACAACGCCGAACGTAACTCGAGCAGAAAGCCCCGAACCTCTGCATCACGACGAAGATCCTCCAACATCTCGTTCGAAGAGAACCGACCTGTCAAGCGCAGTCGTCGAGGCGAAATAACACCTTCCCTTACGCCAGACCGATTCATCAAGTTCAGCGATGTCTTTCAGGGTAGCGACGTTCCAGCCAAGTACAGGATTGTACAGTTTCCGTTTCGCCAGGGAAATTGGTACATCTTGGAGTGCAAGGACTGCGATATACAGTTCCAGAGGGAGGATGTTGTTGAGGATGCATATGAACATTTCTATCACAACCACGGCCGTAGTTTTAGTACCACTGAGGAGCAGGTTGTTCAGGTGCTGGGGACCCATGTGTCGGACTGCAATGCCGAGCTCGCTGAGAAGAACAATGCGCTCTGTCCCCTACCTCTGGATCCCGATGACGACGAGACAGAGCTCGAAACTGGAGATGAAGGGCCATCCGAACGCCCGAAGCGCGCAAGTTCACGAAAGAAGAAAGGGAAGCGTGGGAGACGGAAGAATCCCAACGCTCATTGGGTGCCTCCCAGGTCATTCAAGGACCTCGATCCTCGAATCATCAATGCAAAGCCGGGCGACATTGTCTGCTTGTACAACGACAGGACCAAGTTCTTTTCTCCTCTCATGATCCTTCCATGGGGGCCTTTCCCACGTCTCAATCTCGAGAAGGTCTTGCAGGACGTAGAACTCCACACAACAATACCTAAATGCTACGACGGTGCAAAGCCCACAGATCTGACTCCGTCATCTTGGGCCTCTGGTTACGAAGATAATGGCGAATTTGCTCACAAACGTTGCCTTCCGGGTCTTTTCTTTCGACCTTCCCAAGATTTCCCACATGACTGCACGTCGGGTTGGGTCCCGTTGAACAAGCTCAAGGTCTACGATAAGAGTTGCCCTCGCACTCGGAACAAAGAATCCGTTGAAGAGTACATCGAATACTATGCAGAGTGGTGCAATGACCCATCGGCTGGGGCCATGCCCGATGAGGCGACCGCGCCAGAGAGAACCCATCGGTTTCAGCCGGGAAGTCATCGGGGTCCCGAGAACAGTGTCCCAGATCAATCCGTGCCACGGAGTACAGGTAACACGATGCACTGTAAGCTTTGGAGTTGAAGCTGAGAATTTGTGTAGTCCAAAGCAGTCGACACTCGTCAGAACAGAGCAGCATTGCGCCTACGATTGAAGATTCTGGGATCAAGGAAGAACAAGAAGAGGACGACGAACAAACCGAAGAGGAAAAAGAAGATGGGGAGGAGAGTGAAGGTAGGGAGGAAGAAGGAGGGAAACAGGTGAGCGGCTTTCGGAGGCACTATAGAGTGGGTGTCCGTCGCGCGCACATCGTACGCAGTGTTGAGGTGGATGGGTAACGGGAGACTGGCATATACCCCCCTAGACAGAGAGTTTATGGGATAACTGGATTGTCTGGTTTAATTGTGTGTTAACATTCATTCAGATAGGCGTTGGCTATGTAGACACCATTGTACCAGCGTAGAGAATATTGATGATTGACATGAACCTGGGCAGGTTTGCGACATGGACTACCCTATATCATTTATGCTTGTATTGGCTTGCACGATATTTTGTTCTGCGCTGACTCAAATGACTATCTAGATATCTTATTAGTAATGTTGCGCTATATGATGAATAAGTGCTAATTGCAGTTATTCGCTCCTGTTAATGTCGCTGCCTAATCCTCATTCAAGACATCATCACACACTCACTGCAGGCTATCACTATCACTCACTGCCGATAAACTCACGCACCAAGCTGACTGCATATGATCTGCGAAATTATTCTCCCGCCCTTCCAATTCTCTTCTAGCGGCAACCATTAGCTCACCGACACTTCGACTCATACAGTGTCAGCATAGCATCGTAGGGTAGTAATCGTTACCGTATTGGGCCGTTTTTGCGACAGGCGCTTGGTGTGACGGTGCTTGTCTTGTAAGTCCATTGGCTGCAATGACATAGATTGAATTGGCTGCTGCTTAGAACAGAACTGTTGCTTTCGATGTTAAATGTCGGGATATACTCGATGAACGGGGTACAGTAGCACGTCGCAATTCGGCGTCCATTTTCGCACTCGCCGAGTTCCTCGTCTTTTCCAATTGGCTGATGTTTCCAGTCATCACGCTGACAGAAATTCCAAATTCTCGGGGCTGAGCCTAGCGGGGCGCAGCTCATTTTTTTCTCGGACCCGCGGCGCCGGTATTGCATTGGGTGGTGGGTGATTACGTAGCTCAATTTCGAGGCTGAGAAAATTAATTCAAATCATTGTGACTGCGGTTTGAATGTGGATCTCACGTCGACCACTCACAAGGTAGATTTTGAGGGTTGACGATGTAAGCTTAATTGAGAGGATGGGGGATATATAGGCCTAGTCGCCACGCGGTTTTATCATGCTTACCTTATTGTTTGACTACCTTAAGGAGAATAATATGTCTACGATTCAGCAATCACCGTCGCGTAGTGCGAATAAAACACCAAGTCCGACTTCGAATGTTAGATCGAGAAGATCGCATACAAAGTCTAGACATGGATGCTTGGGGTGCAAACAGCGACGAAAGAAGGTAATTAGGCACCTCCACTCATCATCAATGACTTTCAGTTCTAATAGGAGTAGTGTGATGAGCAGAGACCTCAATGTTCACGATGTCTCGATAAAGACATCCCATGTGAATACCCTCGTCAGAAATCTCGTGCATTGAGATCCCCTACTCAACAAGACAATTCATGGACTCAACTACAATCCCTCACCATCCCATCGCCACACTACGCCCGCTCAGCAAGCGCAGGTCTCTCAACATCAGATCTCTCACCGGGCTTATCTCCCTATCTAGCTCCAAGTCCCAATTTCACCCTCCTCCCTCCAGAAATCCCCCTCCCATCCGTTGATCTCGGCGCCGCAGAGCTTGAACTCTTCAGCTACTATCTCTCCCACACAGCGCGCTCTCTAGCCTACGATGACGATGATCTCTACGCTTTACAAGTTGGCTTCCCGAACTTGGCTTTCAGAAGTAAACCCCTCATGAGCTCTATCCTAGCTCTCGCAGCTGTGCGAAAATGTCACGATTTGATATCCCAGCCTTTGCAGAGGATTGACAAGAGTCAAGTTAGGCATTTGCTTGCACTTGCGGATGAACATCATAGGGTGTCACTTCGTCAGACGAGGGCTGATATTCCAATTGCCAATCATTACGATCACGTTGTTGCGAATGCCCCTCTTATGGTTCTCTATGCAACGGCGAACCATGCTGTGAGAATTCACGTCGCAAAGACGCTGGATGAAGGGCGGAGTACGAGTATGCTGCCTGCGCAATTACATTGGATGACGCTTATTCGCGCGGCACACTTGGCTTATACAGGTCTTTTGCACTCAACCAAAGATTTCGGGTTCTTAGAGGACTTTACGGCTAGTCCGCCTGATATCACATTGAGCAGCCAGTCCACTAATGGGCTGGTTCCTTTGGGCGAGAACGGGCCTACGCCTCAGACAGAGCAACTTCTCATGCCTATCATCGCAGCGACTTCTGGCTCAGCGCTAGAGAAGTTGAGAGGAAGAGCGCAGGCTTTGGAGTTTGCTGCGCACTTGAAGCCATCTTGGGAGTCACCAGGTGATGATACAGAACTACAAGCTTGTCTTGTGGCTCTCGAAGCGTTGAATAGTATCGTGAACGAGCTCTTTCACCCAGACCAGAGCGCTTATACGGATTCTCAACAACCTGATCTCGAAGCTGGTTGGGCTGCGTTGAGTCAACTCTCAGATGTCTCGCCCTGGCTTCGAAGTTACATGGCGCGCGTAACATTCTCGACACCACCCAAACCCCTCCGCCGAACGATAATGTGGTTCCTGAACCGAGTCCCCAGCGAATTTCTCAGCATCGTCGAGTCGGTTCTTGATAACATTCCCACGAGCCCTGATAGTATTCCCG